CAACACTGATGAGACACACAATATGTATTTATGAAACAAAACAAAATGACCTAGAGTCTGTAATAAAGTTAAATTGATTGAATTGAAAAACCTGTAAGGCCTGATTGACCAGGTTGATTGCCCTGTGCAGTAATTGTGCATAGTTCATTTAATGAAAAATGTTTGAGACCTACCCAGGGCCAGAGGTTGCCTGGAGAATTCCAGACACTGAAAAATGGCAGATTAAGGAAATACAGGGATATCATTCTGGAACCCTGGCCTGGGCAGAGGATACTTCAATAATTTCTATTCTACGTTATGAGTAGACCTGCAGCACAAGTTTCAAGTTGCATTAGGACAGAAAATAGAGGAGGTCAACCAAAAAACAAGTATAAAAAAGGCTGAGCTACTACTGGAAAGTTAATCCTAGAAGTGTGTCAAGCCAAAACCACAGCACACACAAAAATAGAGGGCGGTGGGCGCAGAAAGAGGCGCATGCTGTGATGCTGACCGTAGAAGACACTTGGTTCCAAAGCAGAAGTACTGAAAGATATGCCTTAAGCAAATGTGATGTCTCAGTGTGGGAGCTGAACAATCGGCTCCATAATGGCCTAACCAGATAATGCTGTAATGACCCATACATTATTATCCCCTAAAAGGAAGAGAGGTTTGGATTGGCTCTTAAAGCAAGACTGTTTATGCAGCTCATCACATCTATGGGACAGGCAAGAGGTGGTTCCAAACTCATTTTGCCCTGTGTTGATATTTATCAGTATAATATTGTTCATGATTAAATAAGTTTGGAATGGAAATGACATAAGAAGTAAGCTCTATAAGTGTGAATACTGCTGTTGTGTCTTTTGGCAGGACGTTAACCTAAGTTTAAAAACTCACAAATGTATGTGAAGTAGATCCAGTCTGATGGCTACGCAGTATCTGGCATGAGGCAAGGTAGCAAAACAATACAATCTCAATCTGGTGAGTAGTGACAGATGCTTGTTGAAGGGAAAGACACACCTTGCACATAGGCAACTATGGACACAAGTATGAAATGGATCAAAAATATAATTAAGACGAATACTTTTGTTGGCAGATATTGTCAAGAATACATTTAGAATGTGTCAACAGTAAACACTTGCGAAGAGCCCTCACACATGACGTGTTGTTGGGTATAAAGTACTTTAGCGCCACCATGTGGAGATCGCTGACACCAAAACTCATCCTCAGATTTGAGATTCAGTCTTATTGATTCATTTCTAGTCACAGGGTTGTGATATTGTCATGGTTTATACCAACAGTGAATGTTACTACAAGAACTGTAAAGCAACTTGTTATTTATTTGCAATCAAAGTAAATCTAAAAAACAAAGAAAGTTCAATGTTAGCCTTCTCATGTTTTGCACAACAGTTAATTGTCAGTGCTGTCCTTTCTGAACTGAAGAAAGGAGTCCTGATCTTCTTCATGTCACAGGAGCGGAAATGTGTTACACATAAAAGTTCGTAATTGAAACAAAGTTATCTGACACTAAAACAATGCTACACCTTCTCATATATGTACGACTATTGGACACTAGAAAACTATATCTTTCTTAATGGGAACGTATGAAAATCTCAGATTAATTTAGAAACTGTGCCACAGTTTCTCAGGCTTGTTCTCATTACAGTCACTGGAGTGGAGGGCATATAAATGTCATTCTAATCTCCTCAGCTATGTCACTCAAAGGACAGTGGTTCTCAGGTGAAGACAAAGGCAATGCATTATAATCTACTATTTCAAATGTATATATGCTTATATAATTATATTGATAACATATCAAAATTGGGATTAAAGCTTTCACAGTTGAGATGTGCATGATCACTTTAACAGAAAGCCATGTATCTTTATAAGATGCTTATTTAGAACCATTATACTATTACTGAACCCACCTGGAATCACAGCCTTAGATCAAAATAGTTGTAGCTGAAAAGACATAATGATTCATTCATCAGTGTGTATTGACTGGTAAAGCCTTCTCTCTAAAGTCATAAATCAGTTGGACAGTTATGCAATTAGCTTGTCAATCACTTTAATGAAATGTTGTAAGATCATAAATAACTTGGATTGGTTTTACTGTTTAATGAATGATACTGAATTGTTATTCCAATCTTTAAGTACGTTTAGTACGTTTTTTTACGTATATACCGCCTTTTCACTGCAGATCTGAGTCTCAAAGCGGTTTACAATTGTTAATTTTGGGCATTTGTCTCTCACTCCACACAGAGATGGGAGCGGGGTCGCCAGTACAGGAAGCGCATGCCAGAACTATTAGACATATTTTTAGTGGTAGGGGAAACCGGAGTACCCGGAGGAAACCTACGCAGACACGGGGAGAACATGCAAACTCCACTCAGAAAGGCCCTGGTCCGGCCGGGATTCGAACCCAGGACCTTCTTGCTGAGAGGCGAGAGTGCTATCCACTCAGCCACCGTGCCGCCTAAGGGGACTTCTCACTTAGTTGTTTTTTGTTTTTTTACAAAGACATGAGATCATGCCCATTTGCAAATAATATGAAACATATGAGGTAAAACAACACGTTATAAAAGCCAGTACTAAAACTCAATATATAAAATGCAACCCCACCCCCAGTTAAATAGAACGGTTTTCAGCCTGGACTAAAACAATGCCAGAGATGGGCCTCCCTTACATCTATAGGAAATTCTGCCTTTCCATGTTTAGTTCTGACTCTGGGCACCAGCAGGATGCCAGTCCCTGTGCACGAGTTGGTTAATTTGTCACAAAAATGTCACTGATGTTTGCAGAGTGAGCTGATCTAGAGTAGTCTAACCTGCTGGAAACAAAAGCATGGATAACTTTCTCCATCTCTGGGGTAGACACTATATTTTCACATATAGTAATGTTTCTTTGTGCGGTTGAAAGCGGCTGATGTTAAAGATTTTAAGTGCTTTTTAAAGTTCAGGTCAGAGTCCGTTGTGCCCAAGACTTTTCTCTTCATTTGTTGGTTTTAAGGAGAAAGACTTTTAATGTACTGTATACCTGTTAACGCTTTCTCCTTATTTCTGTGGGGGAAAAAACAATAATTTCTGTAACATCTTAAGTTATTGTTATCATCCACTGTATTGTCTAATTGGAAGGGAATGGCTTTGCATCCACTCACTGATCTCTTGAATACAGCGGCTGACATTACTTTTTTTTTTTTTAATCAAAGTCACTGGCAAATATTGTTCAAACCCAGATAAGTTCAAGTTCTGCCATCTCGTCATTTTGACTCAATAAAAAGCAAAGGCGATCACACATTTTACAACATTTATTTGGATGTTTTCATAAATCAAGTGGTACAGCACAAGAAAATGTTCAAGACGCTCCAATGTAAACACAAGTCTCACGAAAGACGTCAAGTATGCAGTGGAAAATGGAGTTGATGCAACATTATCTGTGATAGCACCCAAAGGTGACGAGTGACAATCCATTGAGTCGATCAGCTGAAGACGAATACATTCATTTTCACTTAACATTAATATCTTAAAAGTGCACTGTGTGACTTTCCACAGATCTGTAACTTGATGTGGTCACCTGCTTGTTGCCATGGTGATCGGCATTCTCGGCAAAACAGTTCGAGAGTGACAAGCAGGTGAAAAACACTACACAACTACTGTAACTGTTTTGACAAATGCTAGATGATAATTGGGCAGATAATGTCCAATATCCAAGTTTGATGCAGAAGACATTTTTAACTGAAGGCAATTCCAATGTTTGAAAATAAATTTCCAGCCAAATCCATGCAATTTTCAATTTATTAGAATTTTTTAGAATTTGTTGCTGTCTTATTTTATTTCTTCGTAATTATTGCTCCGTTTGAGTCCTAAAACCACATCTCACAGCACTTGCACGTGGTGTCTGTAAATAGAGCAGTTGTCTATTATGGGAAAACAAAATAGCAGCTCTACTAGACAAGTTGCATAGTGCACCTTTAAGTGTGCACTTATGTAAACAAAATTAACCACAAAATGACAAATACAAGTTAACCACAACAACTTCCATAAATATAACTATGATATATAAAAATTGGAAAAATATGCATTTACATTTTATAGCAAACATTGCACGGTCTTCAATAAATAGAAAGAACTCGGCTGTAGGCAAAATACAGTTTCAGAGACTACGATTCAAGCTGTTCAAAAGATGAAAAGCCCTTGTAACAAAAATTGCAAAACCAACCATTGCACAGGGACTTCTGAAATCTGTTACGCTGCCGCAGCAAATGACCTTTAACTGTGCCTCAATTTGAAATGTACTTTAAAACACAAGGCCCCAAAAGAAAGTAGAGCAAAATCAAATAATGTAAATCATCTTAAACATACACATTCCCACATTCAAAACTCCACTAACACAGCTACAATTGCTTTGGATGAGTGAAATGCTGTTACATTTAGTGCCACAATTAAGTACTTACGCTGAAAGTCATAGTAATAGCAGTAGAAGTATTGAAGCTTATCAGCACATTAGTTCAATAGTACATAGAGTAGTAGCATACATAGAGAGGACTGGGAGCAATAAGATGTTGATATTGCATGTTTCCTGTACATGACCCGTGAGTATCTATCATGGAAAGCAGCTTTATGGTGTTGTTTCTTGATTATTAGAGTTAAGTTAGATGTGACCTTTAGAAGGCAGTGGAGACTATTGACTAGTTTAGACTGCTGTACAACAGTTAAAGTGTGTTAGTATCATACAGATTACACAAAAAGCAAGCATAGTTTCAAGCTGTACAAAGTAGTTTCTTTGTGAGTGCTATAGGCATGGGAAGACTGAGCCGAATACTAAAAATTATGAAACAATGAATAAATAGTACTAGAATAGTACTAGTTTGTAATATAAATGAGTTAATCATATTGTTGCACTATATTTCTAATCACTTGTAGATTTATTATATCCCTTAGCGTTTATCATTATAGAAATCAAAACAGTCTAATTGTTTCAACATGAGGCCATCCCATGCCTATACAGCATAGACAGCAAAGAAATTACTTTGAGACGAAGTGCACATTTTTTGTTTTGCCATTATGCTTACTACTTAGAGGTGCTTTGGAGGACTGTGGCTCTTTAGCCACTCTTTTTATGGCAGTTTTGGAAGGCTGACCTACCTCTCCTCTCTGCCAGTCCTTCTCTACCCTTTTAGTGGTGAGGACTTCACTCTTACTGGCAGTAAAAGCATGTTTCTCAGCACTAGTGGCTTTGAACCCAGTGGGCTCCTTCTTCACATCTGTCTCAGAGTTGGCTCGTACACGGCTCCTCCTCACTGGTCCCCGCTTATCAGTGCCACTCTCTTGGGATGGCTTTCGTGCATTACCGGCTGCCTGCATGTGTCTGAAGTGACTCTTTGAGGTGGATGGGCTGACTGGGGTTTGAGGTCCTCCTGGGCTTCTGCATTCAGTGGAATTGTTGCGTGTCTCACTACTGCTCCTCTTGATGGGCGCCCCAGGTCTGGTTCTTCTCTCCATTAACGGGCTAAGTCTTGAGTGGCGCTGGTAGACATAGGCAGAACAGCTTCCGTTACACAGAGGATACCGAATGTGGCATTGAGGACACACAGGGAACCTGGATGCGCTGGCAGGAGATGGCGGGTTGTTGACAGGAGTGAATGGGAATCCTCTCTGGTTTTGGCGAACACCTTTGGGAGAGTTTAATCGAGATGAAGGCGCAGTGTGGGGCCTAGGCGGGTGAGCCAGCGTAGCAGCGGGGAGCGCCTGAGGTCTTTGTCTTGTCCCAGGAGGACGATTGCTTTCCACTTGTCCTGTCTGGATTTGAAGCCATTCGAGTTGCAGCAGCCTCTCCAGATACTTCTCTAAAGGCCCTACAGGTTTTGGTCTAGGTGCACCACGGCCCTCTGTGTGAAGGAAGACTGCCAGTTGTCTCAAGCTCCAGCTGTTAAATGGAGGAGGCAGAAAGTCAGGGTAGTTATAGTTGGTTTTTTCAAAGTCATTATCCTCATTATCTGTCCCGGCTCCTTGTGGCCCCGGGAAGTCTGGAGGTAAATCAAGGATGTTTATTACTTCAGCACGAAGATTGAGATGAGGGGGGGTACATGGAGTACAAGGGGACGGCAGTATAGGAAGCCTTTCTGAGTCAGAGAGATCACTGGCGCTGTCGGTGTCATCTTCCTTTTGGCTGTAATGCCGGAGAACCTCTGGGATGGGGACTGGAGAGTGAGTCAGGGGATGTGCTGGCATTTGTCGTAGTCCTGGAGATATTGGAGAAAGTGGCAAGGACAATGCGCGTCGATTCTTCCCCATTGCCCCAAATTTCTGGTTCATATCAATGCTGCATTGAGATAAACGCTGGATCTCTTGCTTTTCCTCTTTTCTTCGGGACGACGAATGCTTTCGAAGTTGTGGCCTAATATCTTCTTCAGGGCTATGAAGAGAACAAAGGCATGACCATTAATTTATTGCAGGGCCTATAACTATTGCTGTATATTGCTAAGCATAACTTCATTAGCCAATCAAGAAACTGTATAGGGAAAAAACCATCCCACTACATCTTTTACAATATCAATACATGTTTGAAGTACCTTGACAGCTTGTTTGTGTTCTTTGAAGCCCCAGACTTGAGCTTCACTCCCTTAGAGTGTGCACCCTGTGAAACAAATGTGGAAAATTAGCTATCCCTTTACTGTAACAGTATAACCTGCACAAGGCCTCAATTACAAAGAAATAACCTGTACCTTTTGCACTGCTGCCACTGCGTCCCTGTCCTGACCCGGACCTGGGAGACCGTTTTTCACCTGTGTCGTTGCTTTCTTCACCTTGTTGCTTTTCTTTGAACTGTTGATACAGAACATATAGCACTGCCTTCATACGTTTCCCCCTTCAGACATTGTGTTTCACTGCTTCTTGGCTTACCTGGTCACGGGGCCTGCATTTTCAGTGTTTTTCACCCTGATCTTGTCTTTGGAAACAGCGCGTTTGAGTGTCGTGCCTGCTGTTCGTTCCTGCATGATGGGGCCCATGATGCAGGTCAGCAGCTCGGGTGTTGTTGCGGAATCCAGCACAAATCGAATGTGACTGTAGCTAAAGAACCCAGCCTACATCTCGGTTCAGATGCTCTATTCTCACAATCAGGCTGAATACAACCATTTCCCCAAAAGTGCTGCAATGCATCATGCGCAGATACGGAGTCAGTCAGGTGGATTCCTGCAGGAGGATGCTGGATGGACCAGTCTCGCTGCTCAGTCGCCGATGTCTTGCTTCGACACCTCTTTTGAGTCTCCACTTCGCGTCGTGTAAAAGGCTGCGGTTTTGGTTAATGAAGCGGTAACATCAAACCTGTATGTTCCTCCCCGATGACATCCTGCTCGTGATTAAAAATGCACGACGGGGAGCAAACCGCGCATACGCTTTGTTTGGCCCACTGACAGATAGCTTTGTTTACCTGCAGCTGAGTGGCTGGCTGCAGACCAGACGAATGGGACATTGCATTATGGGAGATGTAGTCGGGAGAGAACGAGAACTGACGCTAAACGGGTTAAGCTGATGCACCATGAGAATGACACTTAAAGCATATAAAGGCAAATGACCATAGTAATAGCAAATACAAGTAAATAAGTCAACAATACATTAATGACTTATACAAAGGTTACGTTGGCTCGAATATCACTCTATGTCCCATGATGCTTTGGTCTTCTCCAGTTCCGTGTTGGCTCTCCACGACTTGTGCAGATCTACAATCCAACATACTTAAAACATGAAGGTGGTTGCTCTACACATGTTTGTTATGAATCTGCTAACGTGAACGCGTACATCTGTGGACGCACGATGGCGCATAGACGCACTGGATAAATACAATGCAACTTTAATCGGAGGACCGAGTTGAGAGTGTACCTTTGGCTTATATGTCACTCTTGTATGATCACACTGCAGGTAAGAGTTAATAATAATGTTGTCATCGAGTCTTCTTTCGTACATTGACGTGATCGTGTGGAAACAGATACAAGATGAGATCTGCTACACGGCACGTACTCACACTAGCAAAATGAGTGCACGTCCACCTTCTGTGTGTCTTTACTATTTACAGTCTATGGTCTTTACAGGGAAATTAACAAATTAATATTGATTTATGTTATTAATATTATATTTAATTTGTTTTACAGCGCCTGACGGTCTAACATGCATAAAGACTGGTTTATTGGAGATCACAGAATTTCCCCTTCAAAATTTGAACAGCAGAGTTCTACCTCCAGACCCAGCATGACAATCAATTTGACTCAAATACTACAAGCTGAAAAGCCCAAGACGGAGAGAACACCGGTGCCAATACGCCCCCCTAGCAGTAGCAGGACCACTGTGCCAAGGAAAGACGACCCTCACCTGAGCATTTCATGTGAACCAAAGCCAAAACCTATCATTCGCCGCTCACACTCGTTGCCTCCCTCCTCAGAGAAGAAGAAAAAGTGTAAAAATGTAGGCGTAAGGTTTGTTGACTCCTTAGGTCTTGATTTGGCAGATGTTCGGCTTTTTCAAAAGGAAGATGACCCCTCTGTGCCACCTCATGTTACTTTTAGGTTACTAATGGGTGCTGAGTTGGCAGATGAAAAGCATTTAGAAATCTCCTTGCCGTATTTAAAACCAGTGTTTGATCAACTACCGGGTGATGATCCACATTTTCTCCATCGCCTTAAACAGCAGAAGGTCTGTTTGGAAAGGGTCTTGTGTTTGGAACTTGGCATAATTGGAATTGTCCAGGTCCTCAATCTAGGCTTTGAGAAGGAGGTTATTGCACGTTATTCATTCACTGAGTGGAAAAGCAGCACTGAAACCAAGGCGACCTGGGTGTCATCTGTCGCTAAAATGATGGGAGAAGAGGAGCAGCTGAGTTGTGATACGTTTCGCTTCCACTTGCCTGTTCCTCCGTTCCTTCAGCCTGGTGCTGGGTTGGAGTTTGCCATTCAATTCAAAGCCTCAGGTTGTGAACACTGGGACAACAATAACGGGAAGAATTACAAATTTGTTTGTGAGAGTTATAAGTTCTCAGTGCCACGAGAGTGTGAAGATAGCTTAGTGCACTTCATTTAAAATGAAAACACATGAAAAATACTATATTGCACCTTATGGCCTTACATTAAATGAGTGTTTCAGATTCTATATAATTGTTGCACCTTACTTTTATGTCTGTCTTTGTTCATGTTATGAATTTCTGCCAATTTGCACAAAATATGAACATTAACTTTAACCGTGTCACAGAGCACTGTACGCAAAAAAGAACTTAACATGAACAAATGATTTTATGGCAATAGATCTATCATTTATATTTCATAGTGTGTTTTAAAGCTTAATACAATGTTATTCATGTTCACCTTTCGAAATAAAAAAAATACCACAACACAGTTTTGATTCTATTCAAGTACACATTTTACCGCATGTGTGTCCCTACAGAATCCTTCTGTAATAAGAACAATTAGCGATAAGTAATTCACATAATGACCCAAACATAACGGTAGAGACTCTGTTTTTTCCTGATAGTTTTTCCATGGGTTTTTCGCGCTTCACCGCAGATGACCAATCAGACTCCACACAGTCTCTGGACGAGCTCCCGCTTTAGACTGACTTCTGCAGCAAACCACTGGAACTGGACAGATAATGTCTTATTTTTGTAAGTAGACACATTTAAGTCTATCTGATATCCTCAATTCTGCGATACACTTTCGGCAAGGTGCGTAATTGCCGAGCTTCCGTTTATAGTTAGCCTCTATGCTAGCAACACTCAATTTAAGCTAGTTAGCATCCTGGATGTTGGTTAGCATTTGTAACGCTGAAATCACTTTACGATATGGGGATCATTATCAAGTTGTCTATAGTAAGTAGACACATTTAAGTCTATCTGATATCCTAAATTTTGCGATACACTTTCGGCAAGGGACGTAATCGCCGAGCTTCCATTTATAGTTACCCTCTGTCCACTAGATGCTAGCAACACTCCATTTAAGCTAACGCTAGTTAGCATCATGGTTAGCATCCTGGATCTAGATTAGCATTTGTAACGCTGAAATCACTAACCATATGGGGATCATTATCAAGTTGTCTATAGTTGCAAGTCATAGCTTGAATCGTGTTAGCTATTTTCAAAAGAATATGGCAAATTGGATGTATATATCTAACACCTTCAAGCTCAGAGTTGAAACGTTTGAGTTTGATAATGATGGGTGAGATCATGAGTTGTTAATGCTAAGTTACACTTAAAACAGCCATAAAATGGAAAGCAGACTGGTATGATAACAGTGTTACTGTGTCATGTTAAACCTGGTATGCATTTAAACATACTTCATATAGCCAGTGCATCTAAGCGATTTATCGGAATATTCAGCAGCTCTTTTATATAAATATTCTCTATCAGTGGTAGGGGACATAATTGTTCAGTACCATGACATTTTGCATACATAATTATCTGTTTCACTTTAGTTTCTCTCTGAGTTTACTCATTATTGATGTGAGAGGCCTCCAATTCAGAATATAATTAAGTCTTGTTCTGTAATAAAGTTCTGAGTCCTGAATGTTCAAGGATAACGTTTGTGCACTTCAGTTAATATGCATACGCAGACCATAATATATCTGACATTTGAGTTGAGCAGTCTTATTTTCCTCACATTTTTTTAATGCCTTTGAATAATATGAGGGACATGACTATTGGAGGATCGAGTCGTAATACTTGTTGTGTCGCAATATGTTAAGAATCACAATAATGTTGAATTGTGGCTCAAATATTGTAAAACTATCACCCCTATATTGCATGTTTTCTTTGACCTATTCTTGCATAATATCTATGGCTTATCTGACCAATAATCCACCTACTGACAGCCCAACAACAGAACAACTGTCATTATTGGCTGTTTGATAATGTGCTCTTTCCCTACTAAGAAATCCAAATCTCTGCAGTTAAACGTTTTCTAACTCACATTGGCTTTACAATGTTATGTTTTACAGAACGACTTAGCTGACCAGAAGACAAGTGAGGACACATTAAAAAGATGCCACTTAGCGAATACAATCTGGTATGAACATATCTTTTAAAGTCAGTTGAAAACTGCATCAATTTAATGGCTGTGTTTCTTTTTCTCTCTTAAAAACAGTTAGAAACTATAATTGATGATGCTACGCCAAATTTGCAAATCCAGGCACTTAATTTCTACCTACAAAGAGATTTTGATAAGCATATCACTATACAATGTTCTCAACAGTTTCTGAACAAACTGGACAAATTCATTTCCAAGGTGAGATCAATTTGGTGCTGTATGTCTTGACATATGCTCAAAAAACACTGCACACATCTTTGCAGAGTTTAAAACAGGGACATTGTCCAGCTGCCTGTTTGGGTTTTACTGTCATTTACAAATATGGCAAGAACTTGAAACTCCCCACAGGTCAAGGTCTATCTGCTCTAATACCACAAGGCTTAGTCAAGAAGATAAGTATTTTATCTATTTTTAAATAACATTTTTGCTCACATATATGTATATTATTTTGTCTTTAATTCACATGTTACAGTGGTTTGAGAAATGCAGACATCTGTGGGTTCTTGGTGGTTCTTTGAGGGATGAGCTTTTGTTAAATCTAGCGGAGGACTTCCTTGATGCATTAATTGTAAGTTATAACAGGTTTCGTGTATGTCAAAGGAATGTGCATTTGTGTGAATGGTGTTTTTTTTTCCTCTAGGAGATTCAAGAGTCTGGAAAAACAGGTATGCTATCATTGAATGTAAGGAATAATGCAGCCTTGTTTTTATGCAATAAATAATGAAAATGTTTGTAAAACCTTAACAGGATCCATTCAAGTTACTGAGTCCTTTCTTTATCCCATAAGTCAGATGGCAGTTGACCCCCGAATCAACATCCTAATTCAGAAAGAGGTTAGACATTTTGTCACCAACTCTTACTCAAAAGTAGTGATGATAAAATGTGAATGTATTTTGTGAGTAAGGATTTTTTGTGCATTGGTCTAATTGACTAAAACTAACAATATTGTTAAATACAACAAAATGTTTAAAGGCAATTCGTAAGTTCAACCTGATTTTGGACAAAAGCCCAATGAAGCTAAAGAAAGACGGGAAAATGCTACAGTCACAAGAGGCGGCACATGTGATGTATGTTCATAACATTCATGATGAAGACATAAGTCTTAAGGAATGCTTTCAATATTGTTTTTGTTACACAGGTCTAACCTGGCCAACAGAATAATAGATGGAGGGGGTAAGTCATTAAGCTCTAAGCGTTAGAATTTTTCTAAACATAATTTTCTCATCATTATCGATTTGATTTTTCAAATTTTGGTCAAAGGGAGTGGCCCTGTAATTTTAGCAATAGCTAAACTATTGACACTATAAACTATTGACACAGCATGTGGCCACACTGATCTGTAATGGTTTTGTTTTAGATTACGACTTCCAAACAGCTTTGATGGAGGCTTTGTGTAGAATGGCCACATGTGAACAGAGGAGACAGCTGGCAGATCGCTGGTTTACCATGGAACATGTGTCCACAGCATTTGTGAAGATCAAAGATAGCGAGTTTGAGACTGTATAGATCTCTGCAATAATCGATTGTCTCTTTTTTTAAAATTCAAACTTACCATATCTTCAATTCAATTTCAGGACTGTCGCAAGTTTCTCAACTTGGTCAATGGAATTAAAGGAGACAAAAGAAGGTGTAATATTTGCTGTAATACAAGACAATTAAAATGGTCTAACTAAACTAATTTTGGTCTCTTAGTGTGTTCTCATTCCCATGTCTGGAGGTGTTTTTGGGCAAAAATGAGGTTTGTTTGAATCCAGCTAATTCTTTAATGTATTCCTTTTAATTTACCTTTTCTTTCAAATCTGAACAAGTTTGTAATATTACATTTGTCCCTAGCTGCTGATGCCGGCTGATGAGAAGCTGGAGGAATTCTGGATCGATTTCAACATAGGTAGTCACAGCATCTCCTTCTACTTCTCGTTGCCTGATGGAGCACAGGTTTGTCAAGGACAAAGGGTTTTGTAAACAAGAGCTTATACAACACACCTTTTATATTCTATTTTTCATTAAGGAGGAACAGTGGGAAACGATATGCATAAATGAGAACGAAGTAAAGAGTTACACTGTTAAAGGTAATGTAGAATGCTATTTTTTCCCCCAGATATTATTTAGACTAGTACTGTTTTTTGTTTAGAAGAGGGCAAGAGGAAAATGCTGAATCTGGATATGTCTGAGGTGGTGATCGTTGGCTCAGTGGATGGGTCCTCTCTCACTATTCACTTCAGCAGTGGCCTGGATATTCTGCCTGTAGTTCAGAAAGTTTTTGGGTCCAAAAAAAACACGGTGGGTAAAAAAAAACTTGTACTCAAGCCAAAGGAAATTTTTATTGAGAGCTGACACCTAGCTCAATCTATTTACCGTATTCGGTTGAATCCTTTTTACAACCATGTGTATCAGCTGTGTCCAAGTAAACCTTGACCCTAACATTGTTTACTGATAAAGTCTGCAAGGCCTTTGTTTGCAAACCATTTTTGAACTCAGATGAAGTCAAATATTTTAACCCCAGAATATGCTCTGTGTAAGTTATTTGGTATGTCATTGATTATATAAGTCATTAATCACACAGCTATTTAAGGTTTCCTTGTGCAATGAAATATACAACATTTTTGGTCGTGCTGGCTCTGTACCCTGTGGGTTTGTTTGAACATGTGCTGTTTGTCTCAGAGTTTTGTGAGGAAGACAGGAGCTTCAGTGGCGAAAACTACTGTCAAAATGGTTATTGACCAGAACAGCGCCACGTCTCAGGTAATCACAGTAATTCTTTTGTCTACTTTCTACTACTATTTGCTTGGCCCTCAAAACTAATATTTACATAAGTCCTTCCTGTTTACAGACTGTCCCAGAAAGCCAAATGTCACTTGGGGAAAGTGAAAAATGTGGTGGTTCCATGGTGAAATACACTAATTTAATGCAAACATGTTTCTGTTTCTTTTCAATGTTGTTATGTGAGACACTGCAAGAATGAGTGTGTTTGGTTCAGTAACTTGTCTGTGTGCAATTTCCACAATGGCCAGAAGATGGCATTGCTGTAAAGAGAAACAATCTTCATAGAGAGTGGTTGAAGAGATGCTTATGTGTTGTTTCTTGTGAATGTAACACTTAAATACATGCTGTTTACACACGATTTCTGCAAAAGTTCCATGAAGGTTCCTTTATAATATTTTCTATTCAACAGATGAAAACTCCAGCTAAAATGAGGGCATCTGAGTCCACCAACTTTATCAGCAGCAGTGGTGGGGGAGGTGCAAGGTCGGTCTCTTCAGTTCTCCCTGCAGGTGCGTAACTTGAGTTGTCAAAAACATATAAGAATCATTACTGGCCACTTGTAGATATTTCCACACTTCGGGATGAAAAACTGTTCTCTTATCTTATATTTTTAAGCTAAATGTAAAGGAAAACCCTCTCTGACGATGGTCCGCTCTGTTGAGAGGCAAGAACAAAATGGCATTGGTGAATTGAGAACAGCCAAGAGCAGTCTTGACACTACTCCTGTTATTGCCAGAAGAGAAAAGGTTTTCTTACAAACTTTTTTCATAGCCAAGCTAAAGTATGTTATGTAAACATTGAACATTTGTGTTCCTGTTTGTGTCGTGTGTGTTTTCATATTACATTACAGGACATGAATGAAACAAAAAAGATGACATATTTAACAAAACCAAGAGCTACAATTGTATCGGAACCAAAGGAAGTTGAGCCTCCACTGGGTGTGTGTCCTTTTTTCTCATTTCCTCACCACTAAAGTTCTACTAATTGAATAGTTTTGCTTACAGACAGTACTTTTGTGCCGGACTCACAGCCCACAACAAGTAGAAACATGTAATTATTGTTCACTAAGTTTTCTGTAATGAATCCAAATGTATATTCATTCTTTATGGTGCTTTAATTGTAGTTCCTCAACATGGCACAAGTTCTCTGTTTCTGAGATGCTGATGTTGCCTACACAAAAAATGGGCTCCTTGCCAAAATCTGGTGAGAATGTGAATTAAACAATGAGTGCATTATTGGTCATGGCAGTGTACATTTACTTATGTCATACAAATCTTTCAGGATCTCCACAAATTTCTGCTCAAAGAAAGTCGGGCCCCTCCTCAGTTCTGAAGACGTCTGCTCCGTCCTCAGGCCCAGTCCATCCTAAGCAGTTCCACACTGAGCTCACTCAGCGTCTACAGCAAGTTCTGCATGAGAGGAACAAATCTGAGTCTTCTCAATCTGTTGATTTCCAAAAAGGGAAGGTTTCAGACACCAAGGAAAAGCCAAAAAGCAATAACGCTGTTGTTGCTGTTGCATTGAATTTACCGGATCTTAAAGAGAAGAGGCCTCGGAGAAGCACCAGGAGCAAAGGGAATTGTAAGCCACAAGTGGAGGAAGACACTTGTGTAATGAAAGCTCCCGGGAGGGCTGCTGTCAAAAGTGCCACACTGTCTAAAAAAGAGAAGGTACTTAATAACATTGTGTATGTAGGGGGTATGTCTCCAACACTTACTGACTTAGTCCTGCCCTCAGAGAGATGCAGAAGTTACTGGTAAGATGGTGAAGCACATCTCCAGTCATTATGAAGTCAAAGTAAAGGGTAAAAGACTCTCCCAGTTTTTGATACCCCCATCACCACTCATTGGAAGGTAATTATAGCTTAACTAAAGCTTCACAGCTCGTTATTGCAACACATATATAATAATGAAAACACTTTTCCAAAAGACCTTTCTTCAACATGAAGTGGCACACATGTATGGTAAGTTTGTTTTATTTGCCACTATTTAAATATTAACCCCGTAAGCTATTTAAGAATCTGAATTTGCTTGTTCTTTAGGGAAATGTCACAACTTTGGTTCAGTCTAAGAGCAAAGAAAGAAGTCAAAGGTAGATTTCAACAGACTGCATTGATGTTCCCAAAACTAAACCTTTATTCTTTTTTTTTTTTAGCAAAGATGTTTTTGCCTTCAATGTTGATACACCACAAAGTATTGGGGTAAACTGGATTGCTGAATAATGTATAATTTACTTATGTATAATACTTATATTTACGTAAGCTGCACTTTTATTGCAGGTGAACAGAGCTATCACATCCTCTACACGAATTGGGTAAGGATGATTGCAGAGGACAGGAGTTTTGGTCTGCCTTAATAAGCATTTATTTGTATTTTTTGTCTTGCAAAAGTTTCTCAGAAGATTCAAGCCTTCCCTCCACTAATAAAAAGCAACAACCACCTCCTAAAGTACTCATTACATTTTCTGGTACTGTCCCTAAATGAGCAGATTTGTGTAATGAAGTGTCCTTTATCAGACAAAGCGTCATGTGAAGAAGCATCTCTTCAGTGACACTGACACTGACCGCGGCACTACAGACGTGAGCTGGCTGAGAGAGTCCAGCAGGAAACCCAAACCCAAAGTGACCAAATATCCCAGAGCAGCTCCAACTAAAACTAAAGTGGCCCTAACTCTACCTTCATGTGGGGTTAATTTACAATTTAAACATTGATGGCATACTTTACTATAATGTGATCAACCCTCTCTGCTTTTATTCAGCTGATTCACCAAAGTGGACTGATCCTTACCTAGTACCATGCCCAAAACCTGATGTCATTGCTCAATCAACCAAGGTAAAATTTGTTTTCATTTATGTCAGTCTGCAGTTTTAAAAACGGCCATTGGTTGTCACTGTTGTGCTATTTACAGGTTAAGGCCCAACCGCAGCAGAAAAAAAAGGAGACGTCTGCTGCAGCTCTGAGAGCAGCTGCCATCAGAAGGTCCTCCAGAGCAGCAGCCCACTCCCTGAAAAGCTACAGGGAGATGGACAGTGAGGGGAGCCAGTCAGACTCTGAGCTCTTCAAGGCAATTTGATGTTTGGGCTGATAATGAGGGCTTTTACAAATGTTATATTGTACAATCACTTGTTTATTTTTCAGGTTGGAAAATTTGAGAAAACCAATTTGAATGGAAAAAATAATAACAGAAAACTACAATCAAAACCATTTGTTGAACCTGAGATCCAAATCAGCAGCCAATCAGACTCAGAAGCAGGCCACACAGTTTTTTCAATGGTAGACGACATTTATCAAATTAAATTCATAAATGTATTTTCAAATGACCCATACATTTATTTAGTAGAACTACGAGTTCATGTTTTTATTGCCTTAAGTTTCAGGACGTATTGATCAACCACTTGTTATCGACTCAGCTTTAAGTCCACTGACAGTTGTGTTTTGTGATATAAAAATGTTCAAATGTTAACAAACTGAGTGAAATTGTTAGATAACATAATCTGAAAGCTATGATAGAATTCTAAGTGAAGTAACTGCTTTGTGGCATATATTTGACTTTTCGTTTTGTTTCAATTTAAGTGTGCAGTAAATGAGACTAAGCAAAAAAAGAGGTCCAACTTTGAACGAGTTGCAAACAAAAAACTACGAACAGAAAATGTATTTCAAGATTTTAAAAAGTCACGTGAAGAAGATAAGGTGAGAGCCAAGCTTATAAAAGTTATTTGTCTCTGATTTTACGATAACTTGCTGTTTCAGTCAGTTAAGCCAGCAAATATTCTTAAGGAAAGTGCCAAAAAGAAGAATGTTGCCCCGGTTAAAGAACAGAGTGGATCATTGAAGGAGTCCTGGGCCCAGCGCCAGGCCATGTCTTCACCGCTCTCTTTTATCGAGAGGATGAGATGTAAGGCGCTTCACAAAGTCACACAAATCAGTGTTAGATAACACTCATTGCTTTGCTGTCATTTTATCAATACATATACATTTAAGAACTATGTTCTCCATTCAAATATTTAGTGTGTGAAGATCATTATGAATATTTAAATATTACAAGTACGGAGAAGATAAGCTCAGTAAGTGTGAAATGGGAATGTAACTGGAATGAGTAACTGGAAAGTAACATTAACCAGTTCAATTGCTGTGAAACTCGACAATGCCACACTATTGCGAAATATAATAATTAGGTAACTTAATCTTTTGTTACTCTAATGACCTTACTTGCATCTCACCTTTCAACTGATTATCTTATGTACTGTATATATTGACCCGGTTGTCCACCAGCTGTTTGAACATCTGTGCTTATTTTCATTTGTCACAGCTGCGGAGCGGTCAGGCCCGAGCTTAGATTTGCCTTGTTCCCCAGTTCTGAGCCTACAGGCGTCCCCTCTCACTTTCTCCCCAAACCCTGATGCTCCAGAGCCCCTGACCCATACCCCGCCGCTGCCCAAACCATGCTCCACAGTCACCAGCGCGGGAGACTTCAAGGCACTGAAGCAAAGGGCCTCCAGGACACAGTCCATTAAGTCTGTGACCTCAATGCTCTCACTCACCCAAAGAGGTCACTGCAAACCCTTTGGATCCGGTAGGACTTGTGCTGACCAGGTAAATCCCCATTTACTGTATATGTTTTCACTGAACTTTATCAAAAGGATTTCTCATTTTATACTCGTGTATTGAATAAACTATAAAAAAGTTTATTGTCAATAATTTAACATTTTAAATGTAAATGGCTAGCAAGACATATGACACCTTTCACATTGAGCTGGGCTTGGTTATGGCCCCGTTTAGACGGAGACGCTGCATAACAATTTGGAAAAACGGTCAGGCTCTGTATTTGAAGTGTTAAGTGTCTTCATGAAGACTAAAAACCATGTCGTTCTAGCGCCCTGCCAGACATGCGCGACCCCCATCAGTATAATCAGTTTCTCAACAACATACTCCTCAGGCCACCGCAAAGACGGGAAAGAGTTTAACATCATTCTGCATTTAACAGCAGCTGTGAAAATGGAAACTGAAACTACGGCTTTGCGTGGTTTCATCTGGAGGAACGAAAGAGTAGAATTGCTCCTCCATGTAGGATGAGCAATTCTCGGCGCACATGTAGCATTAGTTGACCTGCCACCATGTTAAAGAGTCCCCCACCGCGTATCTCTTTTATTCCACTCTGAAGGCCATTTCTCAATGCTAGCGTTTTCACCCCCTGAAACATTGTTTCCATGTGAATGAAAGGCCAATCAGATACCCATCTATGTTGTATTACTGCCACAGCGTCTCCGTGTAAACAGCACACTAGCACTGAGGGAATGTGGAGTCTGATCTCTCCTCTTTCCCTAACTGTGTCTCCAGCAACTTTAAAATAACATCTCATCAGCATGTAGAAAACTATTTTTCAGCAGTTTGGTCATTGACTGGTCCGTGAATGTCTCTTATACCTATTTAATATATTACATTGTGTTTCTTCCTTGCATCCTCAAATTATTTACGGTAATATTTTTTATGGATAAAGTATACAAATGCATTGGTTCCTAAAAAATTATTTAGCTCCCTGCTTAGTGGAATGTATGACACCTTCTGACATTATTTACCTATTATGTGGCTATGACCTAATAATCCATCAAAACCCATTTATTCTGCTTTATTTTTGAAGAGTCCAGCAAAGGAGGATCTATCTTCTTGCTTTCAGTCGCCTCTGTCTTTGTCACGGCCTTTATTGACGTCCACTCTGGTGAACAAGGAGTGCCTCAGCCTGCCCTCCCTGCCCCCCTCTCCACAGCTAGAGGCCCAGGGCAGTTTTAACAAAATATCTCCAGTCTCAGCAGTGTCTCTAAGCCGGGTGTCCACTAAGTCATCGGTCACAGACAAAGAAGCGGACAGAGCATCTGCTGCTTTGAGGACAGAGGTTTGTTGGATTGTAAACGGCAATGACTCAATTTTCAATTATTGCAATGAGAAATACAATTTCAGAAAACACCACAGATGGATGTAAGCCTCCTGTCTGCAGAGGATGTGATGTCAGGTAATACCTGAAGTCAAACATACTTTAGGAACATTACAACTTGTCTTACTAACATTACACTTTTGTGTCTCAGGCCCAAGTCACAAAAGGCACATGTTGTACTCTTCGTCAAACAACTCTGATGAGGAAGACAAAGAAAAAATGAAGAAAAGCAAAGCGAGAACACAGCACTCTCCTCGAATGAAGCCAAGAAAGCTCTTTAAATCGAGTGAGTTTTCTGTGATTACACTGTCGTTAACTCGCATTACTCTAATACAGACGCCCTATGGAACTTTTCTGATGGAGAATCTATCAAACACTTATCAAGATATAGGTTAGTTTAGAAATTACAAGTTATAAGTTATTTATGAACGAACCAATAAATCAGGCAATAATATTATAATTGATTTAACTTGATCATTGTTTCATCCCTAGAAAATGTGTCAATGTTTCTTTATTTAGAACATTACCTCTTCAACATTTTGTTTTTTTAGCAACTAAAACTCATGAACTGATAGAGAGCTGGGAAGAGCACAGCGCTGTAGACAAAAGCAAGAGTGACAACATGGCCAAAGCTGCAAAGAAGAAATCAGAGGAGGAAAATATAAGTGTTAAAAAGAGAAGATGTAAGAAATACATTGTTCAGGACACAGGTCGACTCGGAGTTAAAAGTTGTCATAATTTAAAGCATTTTGACAATTTTGTCGTGTCTCTGAAGTGTCGGCTGAAGGCAGCGTGAGTCATCTGTTGTCTTCCTCCCACACTGTCACCAGTGGACATTGGGATGCAGATACGGAGGATGGAGACATTGATGATTTGGACACGCCCAGACTCAACCCAAAGAGTCTCTGCCACGAGTTCTCCTGCAAACTCAAGCAGAAGTTCAAGGTAGGGAACTGGGCAGTCATCATGTCAGTCTTAAGTGACAATTAAAAATGGTTGAGACATTTCATTTATTAATTGTTGAAATCGCAGTCTTTTCTCTGTTGTTGACAATGATTTGCCTCATATGTTTGTTGCTAATCTTAGTTTACTGTGGGTGTGGGACTAACACCATGGACCGACTCCAACTGTGTCTCCTGTAATGTGCATCTTGTGATATTCTTTATTCGTAAATGTGTTCTTGTGTCGCGTGTAAGACAAATCCCCCAGGGCAATAAAGGTTTCATCCATTCATGTATTCATTCACTAGTTCTTCCTTTCTTCAGAGTCGATTTAGGATGGTGGATGTTTATAACAAACAGTCATTGAAGACATTCCAGCAGCACATTTCTACAATCGACTCAGAGGTTGCCAAGCACAGGTTTGTCCCAGTAAATATTAGTGGTGTAACAATTTAGGATCCACAATTCACAATGCGTTGCAGTTCATACAATAATTAACACTATCTCATGAGTGATTTGTCCATCCTTCTTCCTCTAAACAGATGCATTCTACCGTGAAGGAGATGCCTCATAAAATTTTGTTCATAAACTTATTTTTTCTTTAACAGCTGCTTCAAAAGAAGGGAGCAGTGATGATAAGTGTAATAACTGAGAAGCACTTTGAGGTTTCTTTGAAATGTAAAGTGCAATATAAATAAAATGTATTATTATTATTACTTAACCCTTAAAAGACGATGCCATCACTGACGATGGTTGCGCACATGTTTTACAAGTGATCAATTTACTCGCGAACCGTAAAAGCTAGCAACTTACTTCTTTTTTTTCTCCGTGAAGTACACATTCCAGCCTTTCCGAAACGGGCTTCGGTTTGCCTGTGCGATGCACGGAAGATAAACTGCGTGTGTATGAAAGTCAGTCCCCCAATCGGATCTTTGAGCGGTGCCCCGTGAGCCTCACACAGCCAATTGTAAAGTTGTTTACTCAAACGGGGACTTGCACAAAGATCGTCAGAGAGTAGGATCTCTCACTCCTGTGTGTACTTGTTGCTACATAGGCAGCAGCGCTTAGAGGAGCCAGAGGAGTGCACTTTATTGAGAATAGACAATAATAAATACAGTAAAATGATATGTGTATATAATGTATTTGTACATATAAATTAGATGTTTTATTTATTTTTTTGTCTTAGTTTGTTTTGTTTTACGTATTTTACAGCTGTGATACAGAAGCAACCACAGCCTCATAGACAAACTGCTTGAGGAAGGGCATCAGGAGTACAGCGTTTTTGGCTTTTATAGTGGAATTTTAATAGTCACTGGTTCAATATTTTTTCCCCTTATCCCCAAGACCATAAATAACATTTCTATGGAGTCTAAAAAGTTGTTTATAGCATTTCATCGTGTTTTTTCAATACAATTTTGTGAAATTGATTTTCCGTTTCATTTTTTTCTTTGTCTTCATGATTCCATAATCATTATATAATTGATATGACAGCTCCAAAATATGAATATTCTAAAACCCCAGGTTGTACTGAAAAAAACAAAGTATACTGCTTGACTCTGCATCAAAAGATGACTGTTTTATGAGCAATTTTACACACAAAAAACCAGGCGAGTTCCCCAAAATGACTCTAGACCTTGGAGGGTTAAATTCCATGTTTATTCCAATGACTGCATCAACAACTGCACATTGATGCTCTCAGTAAAACGCAGTTTTAAAGCCATCATTTTTTTATTAGCGCAATTAATTGCTGCAGCTACTGCAGTCTATGAAAAAATGTAGAGAACAATACAGGCCAGAGTACTGCTACATAGTAGCAAATGTCAGATTTGTGTGTTTATTCTCATGGTCTCTGTCAGACGTGAAACATGAAAGAAAAAAACTATGTCCTGGATCCCTGACAAACTTGCCATTTAGTAGAAGACCATTAGCACATTAGCGCATACTGCTCATGTACTTTGACTGAAAGCTGTGTCATTGCGTGGCAAAAATATGCATATTTTGGGGTGACGAGTGCTTGGCCGGCGCAAGATGTGTGTGCTATGTCGGGGACATAAGGTACAGCAGGCGTTGGAGAAAACAAAGCCAGTTGTGCTCCCTGGTGATTAATGGACGTCCATCAGTAATCACAACTAGGTCAACTGTCTCTAGGTCACAACCCAAATGTTGAAGCTATAGTCATTTCTCATATACTCAATAAAAAATAAAATCTTCCGAAACTTTTTGGTGGGGATTGGATTAATATACGCTTTTTGAGTCATCCAATCCCTTTTTAAAACAAATCAAGGGAGATTTTGAACATGGAAAAAATGTCTCAGCTGAGAAGGAGACTTCAGGGAGGATTAAGTGGTAGTGGTGAGGAAGAAGGGAGTGGATTTGATGCACACTTTTGGCCCCTGCAACATCATGGTGCACTAAACCAACAATCAAGTTTCTTATCCTTAATAAGAAACATGAATGGTGGACATGCAAAAGGACATATCATAACATTTGTACACATTTGTGGTACATTCCATTGTTACACCCCTGGAAAAAAAAAAAACAATTACTTCATCCTTTACTTGAATCTTATAATGTTCTGCAACGTCTGTTCTTAGAGCCCTGGAAGAGGAGCAGGTGCAGAGGGTCCTTCTGGAGGAGATTCATAAACTGGAGCAGGGCGATACACTGCTGAAAACCATGGAGAACGACCTCACTGTGCGTGCCTCCATCTGTTACTGACTAATGCGTCTCATGCACATATGAGCTAGAGATGTCACAAAAACATGCTCAATTCTAACTAGAGTAAGATTGAAAAGAGTTGAAGGCAGAAGATCCCTATGTTAAGTGCCACTCAAGCAGAAGCCTATGTGGAAATGGGCCTTCAAAAGCCTCAAGATTGTAATAATGAATTCTGAAAAATAGTCTTAGAAGTAAAACAAAGTGAGATATTGTTGAATTGACTTGTTTGTTTCTCCAAAAAGCTTATAAAACGTGTTGTGTAAACCTCTTCAGAGTTAGATCAAGAACAGCTTCCTCTTTGTGTTCTGTTTGTGTGTTGTGTTTGTTTATCTGTTCACAGCATCATTTGATAACTGCATTTGACCACCATGTCCACTTTCAGATTCATTGGAACAAACAGAGTGTGTCCTTTCGATCTTTACAAAAACAAGAGAAAAAAAGGTAAACTTGTTCAGTAAAATGAAGCCGTGCAGGTTCCTACTGCCATTGCTCTTTCTAAGCATGAATAGAACATTTGTTAAACATGGATCAAACGGCAGGAAAATCTTTTTGTCCCTTGGGCTCCTCATCAAAAGAACACTTGGTTGCTATATATACTGTATACCACAAATCTCTTGTTTTCCCTTTTCACAAATATTATCATCACCATGCCAAGTCAATATGTATAGGCGTTTACAAATACATTCTTGAAAATGTAACGGCTTGTCTCAATGTATTTGCCTGGAATGTTTCACTGTATGGAATAACATGCTTTGGAAAATTTCACACAAAGCAATATCATACTTTGACTTTTGACATTTTGTATGGATTATGAATATTTTATTACATACTGAGCTCGAATTGTAACTTTCTATAGATAAATACATTACAGTGCAAAAAACACTTTCTTTAGCAAGAAGTTTTAGGGATTAGTTGTAATGTGGTGTGATTCTTTAAATTGCAAATTAAAAACACGCAAATAAGTTGTGATTCCAATGAATACATAGAAAATATCTTAAATTCTCATACCGAGTTTTAGGCCTGTAGCTTTTCCAGGACAGCGCTGACTCATGAACTGAGTCACAAGTCTGTTCATCTGTGCAGTTTTGTACAGTCAGCGCCGTCTATCACTGTTTGTTCTCATTTGTCTTGTTTATCTGTTGTAAAGTTTGACCTCTGCTAAAGGGGAAAACATGTGAGATGTCCAACAATCTGACTAACATGTGCAAATCATTGGCTATTATTATTATTATTATAGCCAATTAACTTATTAATGCTGATGTATTCCTGATTACAAAAAAATAGACATGAGGCCAGATTATTTATGTTTACATTTGAACTCTCAGTCTCCAGAGTCTCTTATTTGGGTCTGGATTGTATGGATAGTGACATTACAAAATGTATGCATTAGTTCATTTTAAATACGGCAAATGTTTGTACTCAGATGATCCCTTTTGTTTTGAAAATCTGCACATTTTTGGTTTTAACAACACCATCTTCATTGCCTTGCGCACAGAAAGCCTTATTATTATTTGTATCATTTGGTATTGTTATTACCTAATTTGTTATTTGGTTTTGTTATTCTGTTTCTCATTTTTTTGCAGAACTGAAGTGCTGAAAAACACGCTGCAGAATAACGTGTGTCACAGTCTAGGAGAGGAGCGACTTTTCACATCACAGGTTCGCGCCTCACAGTTACAGATTTGTATAAACGTGTTGCCAATATGTGACATTATGTAACAAGATAGCTCCCAAGATCATCTGTTCTTTATTGATTAGAAATAAACCTTGCACACGTCACTGATCAGATGCCGTAATTTGTCAGAGCTCTGTTGTTGTCTTGTGTTTGTCACAGCTGTCTGTTTTCAGATGTGTCTGATAAGGAATGACATGAAATCAGCTCAGGACAGGCTTCTCACTGAAATGGTAAGTGTCAACTGTGCTCTACCTCCATATCTTTATTATTCATTCAAATGTCAGAATGAGAAATTTTATTATGACCTTTTGAGTTTATTACTATATGTGTACTTTTACTTATGCTAGACGCCGCCTCTTTAGTATAGCCTTTGTCATGTAGCACACTTTTATGTACAGTAGAGGAATATTCTTCTGCAATTCCTTGTACAGGTCACATACTGTATGATGGTTGGTTGGTTATGAAATTATTTATTGGTTTTTATTTGGGTTTTTTAATGGTTGGAACGAAAGATTCTGGGAGGACTTTTCCCTCTTTCTGAAGATAATGTCTTCAGCAATTTCTTACAACAGTAAAACAAGAACAATTGTTCCTACAACAAGAACAATTGTCAAGTTTTAGAAAATAACTTAAAAAAGGTAAACTTTTTTTGTTCTATTTCCTGTTAAGCACGAGGAAGAGATCCAAGGAGTCAAGAGAGGTCTGCATGCTCTGTTTTTTCCTGATGCAAATAGATTTTAAAGCTATTGCTATATAATCTGGAATGCCGTGTCCTCACAATGACACAACTGATGTTTTTATTTTATTATTATATAAGTGTTGTCTGGATTTTTTAAATGAAATATTGATGCAATTGTTTACGTTCTGATTTTATTACATTCAGTGATTGCTATGAGTTTGTGACAAACGTGTTAACTTTTTTATGTCACAAGTTAGTTTCAGGAATAAATCTACAAAGGCCTGTTCCGATGCAATTTGTTATATTTTAAATCTGGTAGTGTTGTTAAAAAGAGCTAATAAATGTGATCATTTTGACTTTGTCTTCATATCAATTGAAAGTTTAAAGAAAGAGACACAATTCTTACAAAAGATCTTGTATTTTGATGACAAGTAGTGCTTACAAAGGTATTCTCTTTTCAGTGAGGACATAGACTGTCCATTGATTGACATACTGTATGTACAGTTCATATCAAACCCTGTCCCCTCCAGACTGCACAGTCCACAGTCCCAGTGACACATTATTCAGGTAAGAAAAGTGAAGCTGGTCACATGCACAACTTCATCCACTACACGGATCACGCCGCCTCATCAAAGGAGTCCATGAAATAGTACAAAATGAACAACACTGACAACACTGTAACCGCCGCTTCAGAGGCTCCTTCAGTCCATCGAGTGGCAGCTTTAAGTCTCCAGGACACTGCCACCTCCTCTCCTTCTACTGAGACCCTGCCTCCATATTGTACAGCGTCTAAGGGCACTGGATCAATGCTAAAGACGCATTGAAGACTAGTAGGCTTCAGGCTCTATCAACTGTCAGCAGTGAGCAGTCGTCCAGAGCCTCAGAAAACCTTAAGATCAGCAATTCTTCACAGAAGAAAGCCCTGCATTCACGGCCGGTGGAACCTTCAACAACAGAAAAAAAAAAAAACCATGTTAACGCACTATAAAAACCGGGATGCCCTTCACTAATACACTCTGTGATAACCTTCGATGTTCAGTGGGTCATTCTTCTATTTATAGTCCTGTGCTCATAACAAAGAGAGGCCTTTCTTGCACACTTGGATACTGTTATGGACCTTAGTCTTACTTCTAGCTCTATTCCAAGGACAGCGTGACGTTTTATCATCTCTGCTCAGCTGAAGGAGAATTCCTCTAAGGACACCCACTTCCCCCTCCCTCACCAGCAGCAGCTCTACTCCATCTATCTTTAGCTACACACTACTCTCCGACAAGGAAAGGGAGCTAAAAATACCCCTCTGAAGCCAAGAATAGATTATGCATACAGTACTGCGGACACATAAACACTGTTCAGTCCACTGACCTGGTTAGATGTTTACTGGACGCGTGCACTTCCATTTCCGTGCTCTTGAATTCATTCAGCTCTTTTCTGATTGCAGCCTGTGAAAATTGGGGGAAAATCATTGGTTAAAAAGTACAAACAATGGGGTTCAGGCTCTTTATATAGATTTAGCAGATAGAAATTCAGTTGTTGTATAAATTAAATTCACCTTATCAGCTGCAGAGAGCCGGGTCCATGGCTTGTCTGCTCTCCGGTCATAGTCCTGAGCTTTGGCCACTTCTACATAGTCACTAAAACGGATTAAAATTTTTCTGTCTCGCAGCTCGTCCACCGTTGGCCGCTGGTTTAACTATAAGAGAAGTAACAGAAATCACTCTAAACATTCATGCGAAATAATGATGATGTTTATCTAAATCATACTGGTGACTTGGTCTTACCTTTCTATTTAGTCTTTGTTTAATCTCTCGTCTCTCCTCTTGTTCTGTCTGGTCATTCCTCTCTGAAATCATAAGAAAATATAGTTTTAAAATCAAAAATTGAAATATACAATATATTTCTACAGAAACTTTGTAAACATCAATATATTGTCACAATTTTGTTGGTGCAGACAAGTGTATTTAAGGTCTTCAAGCAATCTCTCGTAAAATGTTAATGTCCCTTAGTTCATCCATGCGTACTCCAGCTCTTGAATTATGGACCGCATTGTTCCATATTCAAGGCAAAGAACCCACGTTTACAACTTCTATATTTGCATACTTTTGGGATATCCGTTAACTACGAGTTTGAAAACAGTGTGTCATTACTCACGTTTGAGAATGTTCCGACTCTCCAGCTCCTCCACGTTTGGTCTCTGGCTCAGCCGCCTGCGGAGAAACACCAGAACCACGTTTTGAACCATTTTGCAGGTACGTCCCTCTCCTTCTATAGCCTCAGCTGTTTTTTCCTAATGGTACGTGTCCGGCACAGGAATCTCTTCTGTTTCCACCTTGCATCCAAAGCGCGGCTGTGATACTTGGGCAGAGGTGATCCCCACATCTGGATCGTTTTAGCAAAAAACTAATCTCTGTTGTAAGGCACGTCGTCGTTGTGAAGGCATATCAAAAGAGTCCCCTGCTCTCAACTCCTCTCTGCCGCTGCTCCGGCTTTTTACTACAAGTCCTGCGCTCTGGCTGCTTTTGTAGTGTGTCGTGAGGATGGGCTGCCCAAGTCTCCCTGGTTACTGCATACACAATGAGCTGTGGGTGGAGCCAGCGAAGGAGGTTTCCCCATCCCCTGCCCTACTGCTGCTGCTGTCTGCTCTGCACAAGGCTACTATCACAACTGCTCATATGAGGTAAGAGCTCTTCGTTAGGCTGCAAGTCACGCTTTCTCAGGATTTCAGCCATTTTGGTAAAAAACAGCGTGACTTTGACAGAGAGAAATGTAAGAACATAAAACATTTTCTTTTTATGAAATAAATTACCACGACCCAGCAACGGAAGAAAATGGATGGATGGAATTATCATTTATTTATTGTTTTTAAATGTCAAATTCAATGTATTCTATAAAGTCTGTTCTTCAATTTTGCTTTGACAGAATGTGGCTTTGAAATACTTCAGCATTACTTATTTTTCCCATCTGTACTAAGCATCTAATGTACAGTTTTGCTATTTTAAAGCCAAATAAATATCTGTTCTGTTTAGTTTTATTCAAATAGATTTACAGATGTTGCTTTTCTAATCCATTTTTTTTCCCTGTGGAGACATCCCACACATTCTTCCTTTTTGTCATTTGTTGCCACTTTAATGAGGTTTCCATGGCAGCGGTGCCTTGAAACAGAGAAAGACTTATTTACAGCCTAAAACAAGATTAATCCGTATATTATTAAAGTAATGTATCTTCTCTATTTGATCTATTCTTTGAGCAGTAATACAAGTATCAAAACCCTACACAATGCAGTCCAATTGATTTGACCTTATATTCTATTAACAAAACCAATAACTTCTATCATTAAAAAAAAACACATTAAGTTGCTACATTGCCTGGAATGTTCCAAAATATGGAATTTATCTAATCTATCTTGCAATGTATTTAATAGGTGTTGTCATGGGTACCTTTTGTTTATTTTGTTTTATTGATCCAACACTAGTCGAGATTTCATAGTTGTGTCAGTGTAGAGCTTTGTTTACATTGTCCCTGCACACCTTGATTTTCCGTATCTCTTTACAACTCTAAATAATGTGTGTTTGAAGTCTGTCCAGTTACATCACATTCAAAGCACTCAAAAGGACTGCACATTCAAAGTACAACAGTTTAGTATGAATAATGAACGCAGTGTGTGTGGGTCTATAGCCGCGCTCCTAAGGGCAGAATGCCACCACACAGCAGGCCTCCTCTCTGCCTTCATCCCAACACTACATAGGGCACTTTATACTTGTGTCCTGTACAGCTTCAAAGTTAGGTCACACCTGAAGCAGAGGTCACTACTGTAACATACTGTTTAGGATTTTACATCAGGCAGTTAAGTGGCCACCCTTGGTTATGCTGTTATGATTTGAATGTGAGAAATAAAGCCAGAGCCGGTACGGCTGCAGTTGGAAAAGCGTCTCTCGTGTGTGCTCTCAGAGCTAAATACATTTTTACAACACTACCTAGACCTTCTCGGTTACATTGGTGGCAGCGGTGGTTCTTTTTTTTTTTTGCCCATCCAGAAATGTTTTCTGTTGCTGAATCAGCGTTTATTTTGCAGTTAACAAGTTAGCTAGTTGTGTGAAGTTTAGCTAGGCAGTTGTGTGCTTAGCGTGAGTTACCTGTCAACATGTGGAATGGAGAAGAAAGTCCTTTCAAGCCAAAGTATGAGGCCGAGGAGCGTTTTCCCGTGAGGAACGTGAGAGTGGATCTGCCTCCGCTCTTTGCTGGAGATGGTAGCCAAAGTTTTCTCGGCTGGGTGAGACAGCTGGAGGTGGCCATCCAGGCTACTGTGGGCACCGGTTCGGACTGTGATGAAGAACTTGTTCGTATCTTGCCCACTCGTTTATGCAAGTCAGCGTTTCTCCTGTGGGACAGCCTTCCGGATAGAGTGAAGCATGATTATTCTGCCGTGAAAGAGAAGCTCGCTGGCGCATTTGGACAGAGACAGTTTATGGACCGCTTCAGAGCCACCCTCTCGGCTCGTCCCCGTGCTGCGGGCGAGAGCTTAGAAGTCTACGCAGCGGATGTGAGTCGCCTGGTGGCGGAGGCTTTCCCGGACTATGGGGTCGTGGCGCGCAGAGAGGAGAAGTTTCGGCGCTTCCTCGCAGGTCTGCATCCAGCGTTGAAAAGCAAGTGTTTGGAGCAAGGCGCCACTGATTTAGAAGAGGCGCTGACTATCGCGGAAAGATGCGAAAACGCTAGAGAGGCGCTACAGAGGGACTGTGTGAGTAACTATCCGTTCAATCCCCATGTTGCTGAGTCCAGAGCTGTGGTTCAGGCTGTTACGTCCAATGACAGTTTATATAAGGCTGTGGATCAATTAAGCCAGGAGATGCATGCTATGAGGATGGAAATGAAGAGTGTTTATGAAGAAAACCAGAGACTCAGGAACAGTGATATGGGCCAGAGGCAGTTCGTGGGGCGCCGGTCTGGTTTTGGGGGACGTTGTGAGTGCACCTGCGGTGAGCCTGGCTGTCAAGGAAGGTGGGCAATGCAAAGACGTCAGGGTCGCTCGCCCGAGCGTGGAGCTGTTTCCCCCCCTGGTAATCTCGCTGCGCGCACCCCACAACGTACAGGCCAGTCTCCCGAGTTCCGTCCACCTCGAAGCAGGAGTCCCAGCCCCGGATGGCGTGCCCGTCGTGAGGAAGGATCCTGGAGGCCTGGTGTTCATTTCCAGCAGCAGAGTTCTCCCAGGGATCCCGAGCATCAGGGAAACTTCCAGTAGCTGGTGTTATGGCCCAAACACCGGCTTTTCCTCGGGAGGGCCCAATGTTCACAGATGATGTAGATGTGGGGTTGGAAAAATACCCTACTGCCTACGTCCGGGGGGTCATTGAAGGGGTGGAAGCGTCAGTGTTGGTTGACTCTGGGGCTTCTGTGTCTTTAATTAGTTCCGATTTCCGTATGGCGGTTCCCACACTGCGCGGACGGCCATTGAAGAAGGACTTTATTGGCTCACGGGTAGTAAATGGACAGACACTAGACACACTGGGCACTGTAGACGTGTCTCTTCACTTGGGCCGGGCCTCTTGGCGGCACACTTTTCATGTGCTGAGGGAGTCTACTCAGGCGGTCCTATTGGGGTTGGACTTTCTGGCAGTGAACAGGGCGTTGCTCGACCTGGGGCGGGGGGTTTTGGAGATCGGTGATACGTGCCTCCCCTTGCTTTACCAGGCTCAGCTTGTCCCTGAGTGCTGCAATGTATCTCTGGCCAATGGTGTGATTATACCTCCCTTAAGTGAGGCTTTGGTGCCAGTTCATGTGCGTCCACCGGGTGGTGCTAACAGGCCAGTAACTGACTTTGAGGGCTACTTGGAACCAAATGTCCCTGATTCGGCTGGTTTAGTCTTAGCTCATACCGTGGCTAATGTGAAGAATGGGGTTACTGTTGCGCATGTTCTCAATCCCTCTGGGAAAGCAGTGGAGCTCAAGCAAGGGCTGCACATAGGGGAATTTTATCCTATTCACGAGGTTGGTGCACCATCGGTGGTGCCCACTTCAAATAAATCTTCTGTCCCGTGTATGGTCACAGACTCTCCAGTCAACGAGCGACAGAGGGCTGAATTACAGGAGCTTTTGAGTCGTTTTAGTAACGTGTTTAGTACCCCAGATGGGAACACTGGGAAGTGCTCTTTAATCCAACACCACATTCGCACTGGTGATAACCCCCCAATTAAGCAGCGGGCATATCGGACGTCTCCTGAGAAAAGGGCAGAGATTGAGCGTCAGGTGGGTCAGCTACTGGCAGATGGCCTGGTGGAGGAGAGCTTCAGTCCCTGGGCCTCACCAGTCGTGCTCGTCAAGAAAAAAGGTGGTCAGTGGAGGTTCTGTATCGATTACCGCCGTCTTAATGCGGTTACAATTAAAGATTCGCACCCGCTGCCGCGTGTGGACGACAGCTTGGATGCGCTGGCCGGGTCAATGTGGTTCAGCACATTGGACTTTTCGAACGGATACTGGCAGGTGGAAGTTGCCGAGGAGGATCGTGAAAAGACCACCTTCACGACCGGTAGGGGAATATACCAGTGGCGGGCCATGCCAATGGGCCTGTCCAATTCGCCTGCCACCTTCCAGCGTATGATGGAGCTAGTCCTGCGTGGTCTCCCCTGGCACACCTGCCTCGTATATCTGGACGACATTTTGATTTTCAGTCGAACATTTGAGGACCATCTTGGCCATTTGGGGGAGGTGCTGACAAGGATAGATTTGGCCGGACTGAGATTGAACAGCAGCAAATGTCATTTTGCAAAGGACCATGTAGTGTTTTTTGGACATGTGGTGTCTAGAGATGGTCTCCGCCCGGACCCTCGGAACACTGATAAAGTGAGGTTATGGCCGACACCGACCTCTGCTGCTGAGGTCCGTGCTTTTGTGGGCCTGTGCTCCTATTATAGACGTTTTGTGCAGAACTTTTCCCAGCATGCGGCTCCACTCAATCATCTGGCCAGTAAAAATGTCCCTTTTAAATGGACGTCAGAGTGTGAGGCAGCATTCACCTTTTTGAAACATCGTCTGACCTCCTCCCCTGTAGTGGTGTCACCAGACTTTTCTCGCCCCTTTAAAGTTTACACCGATGCGTCAAAGGACGCTGTTGGGGCGGTACTGGCGCAGGAGAATGACGGTTTGGAACATGTAGTGGCCTACGCCAGTCAAGCCCTCACTCACACCCAGAAACGCTGGTCCACCTTTGACCGTGAACTGTGGGCGGTTGTCTGGGCTGTGCGCGAGTTTAAACATTATGTGGGGCTGTCAGCATTCACTATTGTTACTGACCATCGTCCTCTACTAGGCCTTCGTGGCATGTCCATTGACAATGACCCTACTGGTAAACGGGGGCGGTGGATCCTGGAGTTGGATCCCTTTAATTGGGCCATCATCGGGAGGACGGATCACGGCATTTGAATGCGGATGCGTTGTCCCGCCGCCCTGCTGAGGCCACAGCTCCTGCCATTGACTGTGTGAATGTGATTGATGTTGGGGGGGCGAATAGTCATGACCAGGCTAGGGAGTCGTTACCCTCCTCTCCAGTGTACTCTCTCTGCTGTGATGAGGCCAGGTTGCGGTCCCTGCAGCAGGATGACCCAGACATCAGGGTAGTGCTCGGGTGGTTAGAGAGGGGAGTAGGTAGGCCACCTCGTTGGGAAGTTAAGGGGTCTTCTCTCTGTCTCCGGAAATTGTGGGCTGAGTTTGGTCGCTTCTCTATCAATGAGGGACTGCTGTGTAGGACAGATAGCCCCACAGTCTCCGGCCTGGAGCGGTTGCAGGTTGTCATCCCGTCCTCTCTGGTCCCTGATCTACTCCAGCATCTTCACGGGGGGCCGGCGGCTGCGCACTTCTCTGTGGATCGGGTCTGGGAGAAGGCGAGGCAGTCTTGCTACTGGCCTTTTATGCTTAGAGACATAAGACAGTGGTGTGAGCAGTGTAGGGCTTGTCAGACTCGCAGGTCGCCTATTCCTAAGCCTAGGGCGCCCATGGGGGTTATGCAGGTGTGTCGTCCTCTGCAGCGTGTGGCGGCTGACATTTTAGAGCTACCTGTAACCTCTCGGGGAAATAGGTATGTTTTAGTTGTAGAGGACTACTTTACAAAGTATGTTGATCTGTATGCTTTGCCTAATCAGACAGCTAACACTGTTGCTACCTGTTTGTTTAATGACTATGGGTTGGTACATGGGGTTCCTGAGATGCTTCACACTGACCAGGGTCGCCAGTTTGAGGCTGAGGTCATCCAGACTCTGTGTAAACTACTGTGTATTAAGAAGACTCACACGACTGCGTACAACCCAAAGTCGGATGGCATGGTGGAGCGCCATAACAGGACATTGATTGACCAACTTGCTAAGATGTTACTGTCTCAAGGGGGTGAATGGGATGGATTTACAAAGCAGGTTGCTTTTGCGTATAACACTTCACCCCATGCTAGCACTAAGTTTTCTCCCTTTTATCTGATGCATGGCCGCGAGGCCCGGGTCCCAGCAGATGTTCTTGTATCTAACCCTGTGTTCAACTCTGGGGGGGCGGGATCTGTGTCTGACTATGGAGATATGTTAGTTAAAAGGTTGGAGTTTGCATTTGGTGCGGCCAGGCTTCATGCATTGGAGGCCTTTGAGAGACAAAAACTTTACCGTGACCAGACAGTGTGTCATTGGCCGTACGGTGTTGGAGCGTTGGTGTGGCTGAACAATCCAACGGAGAGCCGTACTAAATTAGCGCCGCATTGGAGGGGCCCGTACCAGGTGGTGCAGGTATTCTCGTCAGGGGGTGAACCAGCTCTGACCTATGACATCATTAATCCGCTGGATACTCAGGAGCGGAGTCAGGTGGTTCATCATGACAGACTCAAACCATACACTCTGCCGCTCCCTGCTCGGTCCCCTGCTAGTCGGGTTGTCGCATCGGACCCTTTCTTGCATGGAGGGGAGGCAAGTTTGGAGCCAGCGCTGGCCCAGCCGCAGCAGTCTCGGTCGGGACGTCTTGTTAAAGCCCCTTCACACCTCAAGGACTTTGTAGTTTGAGTTGGGCAGAGTCATTGTTCTTTGTTGTGTGTTTTTTTTTGTTGCTTTTGTTTATTATGGCCCTGGTTTGAGGCAGGTTATTTTATGAACCGAGGACGTTTCTTATGAAGGGGGGGAGATATGTAACATACTGTTTAGGATTTTACATCAGGCAGTTAAGTGGCCACCCTTGGTTATGCTGTTATGATTTGAATGTGAGAAATAAAGCCAGAGCCGGTACGGCTGCAGTTGGAAAAGCGTCTCTCGTGTGTGCTCTCAGAGCTAAATACATTTTTACAACACTACCTAGACACTACAGATGAGAACAGATAAATATGTCAATAATACACAAACCTAATAAATAATGATTGTTATGCTACACTGCGTAGTAGAAAAGGTTTATAAGCATTACCATTATCTGAAATGACTGGTATAAGGACCTTGTTTGGTGTAAAAATGATTCTAAAAAGCATATGGGGCCATGTCAAATGCCACTGGTGCAAACAATCAAAAAGAACATGTACTCCCTTTATTCGATTCAATTTTTTTGTTTTACCCACGTTTGTTCTTTATGTGTGCCCACACTACAGCATGTAGCCATGTTGCAGACATATTTTATTTGAATTAGCTAGATTAGATCTTGAATTGTTTAACTATAGTCTGGATTTACATTTTGTAGCACTTGGAAAGCCATGTATTGGTGGATGCCTAGTTGGTTTTAACCGATGCAGAGCCACTTCACTTAAGACATTCAATTAAATGTAATTTTTTTAATAGCTTGATTTGACACTATTCCAGTAGAACTTCATATTCAAATAAATTGCTTCAGAAGGTGTAAAACTTTCAAGACTTTTCAACCACTAGTCCAACTTTCCCAAAGACTCAAAGTGTATCACTCATGCAATTAGTATAGGGAGAATTAGAACACGCTTTAGGATGGAGAATCTCAGGCTTGAGCCTGCTGTTATGTGAAACATGGAGAACTTGTTCTCCTTTTGTAGCAAATAGAGTAACATTTTAATCACTATGGAAACAATCCTGGTTTGTCACCATACAGAAATCCATGAATAAGAGTCAACAAAACTCTTCTAAATCTTTGTTCTAAATCGTCCTTCACAAGAGTCCTCAGTAAAAAAACTGTTTACTAGAATTTACAGCAAATGCTAATCTTAGCTGCATCTAATACGGTCTGGGTGTTTAATGACTCACTGACATAGTTAATTAGCACATGTGACTAAGCATCAATGAATACTGAGTCAACTGTGGTCCCCAGTAGAATAGGAGAATCATATGAATAAGACATTTATTTATGATGTATTATTTCTAATGTGATCATACTTCCTGGTTCCTGGCAGCTGCTGCTGTAAAGTATCGAACTATTGTTATGTTCTGAGGCAAGACACTTCACGCATATTACCTAGTATGAATCTGGCACAGATTGGTTGCCTCACTTCTGTCTGTCTGCCCCAGGACAGCTATGGTTACACTAGTATTCTAAGTAAATGAAAAATGCCATGTAAAGCGTCTTTGGGGTGTCAGGAAAAAGGCTGATTCCTTCTATTTTTAGTACCTTAGGGATTTCACATGGCTGTACTTATATTACAGGTATACATATATATTATCTCCTACTTACAAGCCATTGCATTATTGAAAGGGTAAATTGAAACAATTACATCAAAACAAGTTATCTCACTCTTAACCCTATTCATGGAAAGCTCTGTCTCTCTGTGGAACCCTATGTTTGATCATGTTTCCTCTCCATCATATACAAAAGTCTAGGACAGTGCATGAAGCTGGTTCTTTACAAAAGTAAACACATAGCTAAGTGTGTCCCACAGTGTTGACTATGCTGCCTTTAAAACAGAAAAAATAGGAAATCCCTGGTGGATTCAGCGATCTGTGATATTGACCGGCGTTACCTTAGCAACAGCACTGCTCCTCTCCCTAGTAACACACTAATGGGGATCTCGCAGTCACAAAGGGCTGACATGTGTCTGAGGAGAAGGTGTGTTCAGACTAGTGCTCACGTGTTGTTACAGTCTAAAATAGATTTATGTTATCTCTTGGGAAAATGATTTATTCTTAAAATGAATTTAAACCTTAACATTTACAGGAGGGCTGCTTATTAGATGCTAATAATTATGTTATTAATCTATTCTATTGTTTATTATCTTTGAATAATAACGTAAACTTTTATTTGTTTTTACATCTCGAGTATTCTGGGAAAAGTATGTTTCATATTTGAAAGAAAATAATCTTAAAATAGGACGTAACAAGAAACGTGTTAATTGTTAATACAGATTGTCGCCTTCAAAGCTGTGTTGGTTCAACGCAGACGCACTTCTGTGTGAAACAAATGCAGAAATAGTTCTGTGCTACAGCTTTACATTGTTTTCAGAATCACAATCAGAATCCTTTTATTGCCATGTGAGTAACAGAAAGTCACAAACTAGGAAATTGCTTTTGCTCTCGGTTTTAGTAGATTTATAAATTAACCGCCTAATCAATGCTTTCTTTTATTATCAATTAATAAATATTCCAGTTAAATATTGTCACATACACATGATGCAAAATTATATTTTTATGTTCCCTCCAGCAGTTTATCATTAGATTAGATATGATTAGATTCAACTTGTTAATACGATGTCAGAACAATGTCAGAACAACTAACTAGTGGCGCAATACCGCCAGTATGGGACAAAATCTATCCATCAATTTTTTTGGATAATATTTACAACCCAGATTTGTATATATGCATAGATGTGAGACTTTACAAAGCTGTTTACCTTTATTAGTCCCAAAGTGGGGAAATTACTCATTTTTATTTTTATATTGTATGAAGTATTTACATTATATTACATTAAAGTGCATGTAACATGCTTTAACAGTGTCAAGAGTGTGACTGCTGTCTGTCTCTTCGCCTGCTGATACACAACATCCAATAAGATGTAAATAGCTAAATGTCTTGTGCTGTACTATTCTTTTATGGTGTGAACGAAACAAGTGTGTATCAATACAAGGATAGTTCTTTTACATTCATACACATTATCAATTGCCTGTTTATACATTTATGAACTGACTGATTTTTTATTGCGACTGTAAATCTGCTAATGTTTTAGCAAAGGACATTTTACTTTTCCACAAATTGTATCAAAAGGTCCTGATATTTTCTCGGGAATAATCAGCCTTGGTATAAATGGAACCAAAACGAGATCCAGCAAAAATTATGACCACTTCCCTATTAGGCTTCAAGTTAACAAGTTACTGTCCATTACTATTATATTTATACTCTATACACTATTCAATAACACTGTACTGTCTTCTCACAGTCTTAATCTCTTTTTAAAGTCAAACACACTTTCCTGCTCTTGTATGTGTTATTTGGTCTACTCAGCATATACAGTTAACTCA